GCATTTAACCAAAGCTGCGTGATTCCTAAAATTCCTCCAAGACTAGGCGAAAAGATTTCGGAAACTGGAAAAAATTCTTCGTCCAGTTTTCCCCGAAATTCTTCGTCGGTCAGACTGATGGTTGACCTATTTCAGAATAATGATGCGGATCACCCTACGTCTGGACATATGCGGGAAATGTGAGCCCACTTAGCACTTCAAAAGTAGTGCTGATATTTTCCGAAAAGAAATAACAACAAAATTCAATAAATCTACCAATCAATGACGCACCTCAGATACGTCGTTCGAGTCGTTGTTTCGAATGTGCATGTGCACAGTTCCTTTCACATCGGTTGATGGGTAGGAAACGAATTCATCAAAACTGCAGGTCAAAACATATACGAGCGATTTCATCATAAACGAAACTTCGTCACGAAGCATATCACGTACACGACCAGTCAAAACTGGCCATCCATCGTCCTGGAAAATTGAGAACGAATTAGAAATCAATACATTGATTTGACCTCACACCGGACTACTGTATCACAAAGAAACAACAAGAAGTATACCTGCGTGATATCGTTGAGAAGCGCTTCACATTCTAGCAAATTACGGGCTTCATGAATTTTACTGAGCGAATTTGAACGGCATGAAATCAGTAGACCTTCGATATTCTGGACTTTGTCCAGCAACTGACGGCAATCTGACAAGTCGGATAGTTTCTTGCGCAGAAGCCGATCTTGAGCGGTCAAAGTCATGCGTGACTTCTGAAATTGGAAATGGGAAGGAGCAGCACCCATAGACGAACACTGATTGAGATTGCCAAAAAGAAAAAGTGAAGTAAACATATATGACAGAGACCCAGTTCTGGACCGTCCGTCATTAGCTACCACTTCAAGCATTATCCCATCGGGCCACTTAAGCTGAGTCAAGTGGACGAGAAAAATGGCCATTTCGCGAGTGCGTCCATTATTCCACATCGAGTGAAAATCCCAATGAAATAAGATTCAGAGAAAAAAAAACGCTGCTTGTGCTGATGGCAGCAGCAGAACGCGCCATAATCATTTGGTTTGGCCAGTAGACAGAATAGGCCAAGCAATAGATTAGAGCATATCCCTCTTCGTAGAATATCTGCGATTCAAAGTAGGCTCTTATAATAGTGTGCACTACTACCGCTCGCTTTATATTCATGAAATACCTACGTCTAATGGTGCGTTCAAAGTTGGCGATCGCACGTGCGATCAGGCGATTGGGCGAATAGTCTATAATGAAAGGTTTACGCATCGATTAGTCGTATAGGCGATCGCCCAATGAGCGGAGCAACAAATCAATACCCATCCTTCCCTTATGCTGATCGCCTAGTCGATATTTATACTTTTCGTTTGGAATCATCGCCCAATCGCCTAATCGCACGTACAATAGCCGACTATGAACTCTCCTTGAACCTTATATCCTAATCACATTTTTTGCTGATAATGCTTTTTTACTACCACATGTAAGAAAAAAAAGCTTAACACTGCTCAGCTCAAATCTGCACATACCTGCTCTGCGGACGAGTCCATACTGTTTTCGCGTAGGAAGCTGTCCGCAAGTTGCAGCTTCTCATTGACGGCATTCGATAAATCTTCTAATTTCATAACTATGTCGTCTTCAGCAACTTTTAGAAGAGGTTGAAACTCCACGTATCGTTCTTGCAGACCTTTAGCAACCTGTTCGAGCCCTGAACAAGAATTAAAAACTATAAATGAAACACATTTCAAAAAACAATGCTCGAATACTTACCACAGGCAATGTCCCTTTCGAGATCTTCTAACTCACTGATCATCCTATAAAATGCAGAGAATATATGATATCGAAGCCAAGAAATGTTGCAAAGCCACAACGGCAAGGAGAGCAACGAAGAGCAAAGTAATGAGCGCTAACGAAAGCCTGTTAATCCAAAGTGGAGAAAAACCAAAAGAAATTACATGGAACGCCAAGAAATAAGACCCTGTTCGAGGCAAATGTAATTGAGGGCTGGCATCGCGATGCAATAATTCGTCCTGGTAATGATTATTTTGGAAAGTGAGGAGATTGTGGATGGTATAAATCACTACGCACCATGGAACCGCGAGAACGTGCGTGATCAAACCACTTGGGTAGATCGCCTCTAAAAGGGAAAAAGGATATGAACGATGGGGAGTTGCACGCGCAGTAGTTCGTGTCACTTGCAGTAATACCTAAAATCGAGCATATAGGAAGTATCAGAGCGCGTGCGAGTGAATTCGAAAGCGAAATGGTTCAGGCTGTCCGAGGCTTAGGCTGGTGTCAGAGTCCGCGATCCGTCGCAGGTTTCGCTGATTTTCGCGATTTGCGCGATTTGCGACGGATCGCAAAAATTGCAAGTGTGTGAACATTTGAAACACTGAATATGAAACAAGTGGAATCATGAGCAGTCGTCATTCAGCCATCACTATCAAGCAGAAGTGGCGGCAGGATTGGAGAACACCTTGCAGTATTGATCGGGCACTTGTGATTTCCGTGACCCGTCGCGTGAATCGCGCAAATCGCGAAAATCAGCGAAACCTGCGACGGATCGCGGACTCTGACATCAGCTTAACTCCTTTCAGGAATCGGGATTGCCAACGCTGCGGTCATGCTTTATGTGCCTTGCAGTTCGAGTGTGTAGCAGATGACGGTCGACCATGCGCATGATCGACACGTATCTACATACTTCACACTTGAACTGCAAACCAGTCGCTAAGTATGAGTGCGGCATAGAAGCGGTTCGAAATACTGCACCATATGCCCCATCCTCCTTCGATTTGAACGGTCAAGATGAAACCCATCTTTCTAAAATTCATCAGACGCGCAACTGCTGGGCTTGGTACTGATCATGACACTACCTTTGGCAGCGGCAGCATTTTGCGCCAAGAAATATTTATGTAGTACAACGCCTAAAGGTCGGTAATGAATGATCATGAGAAAAACGGTGCAGCGGCGATGAGGGTGTGGTTCGCTATGACATAAAGCCAATACATAATTCGCTTTCCGCAGCGCGAATTTTTCGCTGCAGGGACCCCAGGTCCAAGGAGTGGATCTGGGATTCCCGTAGCAAAAAATGTTTCACGCTGAGAACAGCGAAACAGTTGCTTTCTTTCCTGCTAACCACAGCCCTGCGCTCGAACTAGAAATGAACCATCATAACAATGATCAGGACGGAATGACCTTTGCAAATGGAGCTCTAGGGTTAATGGAGCGTTCAGAGTTGGCGATCGTAGTGCGATCGCTCAATGGGCAGAGCGACAAATCCATACGTATACTTCCCCTACCGCCTACTCCCATATACGAACTCCAACTCCCATATCCCAACTATGAACGCCCCATAACAAGTAGCCCTTTCGGGGTCTCATCCGGTAAGAGGGGGCATTGCGGTGCACGGTCTGCTCTAATGCCAATTTGGCTCAAGGAGTCCTTTAAAGTTACGAGCTGCTATCAGCTTTTTTCCTATGTTATTTCTTCAGGTGTTTTGTGTAATGTATGTATTCTTGTACTAGATGACATTAACGTCTACGAAAAGTAATATTCACCTAGTTAGCAGGTCAGGACTAAGCCTAGGAGGGGGGAGGAAGTCCCCCGGGGAAAACCAAGATTGCTCACGGACCCGGGGACTCCTTCCCTTCTAGGGCTTAGTCCTGAACGTCTACAATAAAATAATGTGCTTTCCATGGTTTGAAATGCTCTAGATCGCTATGCCCCCCTTACTGGATGAGACCCGCCCTTTCGAATTGCAATATTCATATAAATTCAACAAGTTCAATACCACAAAACGATTATAAAAAGCTGAGGCGCTATGTGCCTCGGGGGGGGGGGGGGCAGTCACCGCGCGCGGCTGTGCGGCAACAGGAAATTCGAACATTCCAGCTTCTCACGCATGTCATGTGACTGCCCTCACCCCCAACCAGGGTCAACCCTACGTTGTTACGAGTAACAACGGGGGGGTCGTACCTGGTTGAGTTTGTAGGAGGGGGTCGTACCCGTACCCACTTTAGTCGCTCGAAATCACGTGTGGGATTGAGGAGAAACTAAGATTTCGTGGGTAGTAGGCTGTGCGAGTGGAGGGCGCGCAAGATAAAAATTTGCCGTTTCAGCCGGCGTATATACCCCCTATGACTAGGATTTGGAGCTATGACTCAATCGTTGTGACGTTTTCGAGAAAAGTTGACGAATTTAGCGACAAATCATCTCGTTGACGTTTATTCATGGCGACTTGATAATGAGCGCTTGTTGCTCAATTTAACCAACCGTTAGTGCTGAACTTTTCAAGGTTCGAATCAACTGAGGCTTGGTAAAGCAACCCTCAAATGTCAGGAGTAAAACCAAGAGCAGGAGCACAATTTAAGCTACAATAAAGCAGGAAAACGGATTTGAAAAACAAACAAATAACGGGCGAGTGAAAATCGGAACGAGACTTTTCAGAGAGAATTAACGGCAATTCAATTTCGCGCCACAGTTTTGAACTGGGACCTGGATTTCGATTAGAGCGCGTTAGTTAACGCAGTGCTTTTTGGCGCCACCAAGTGTCTAGTGCGGCTTCAAATTCTCAGAAATGCATTTTGAGTCTATTCCAGCTAGGGGGAGGCATCATGATGCAGATTAACTCGAACGTTCCAGCTTTTCACGCATGTCAAGTGACTGCTCTCACCCCAACCCCCTAGGCTGGGCTACAAGGCTTCTGTCAACCAGGGGTGAGAGTGTAGAAGGAAAAGCAGACGTTCTTTGTGGTAGTGGGACTAAGCCTTTTGAAGGAGGTAAAGAAAGCGGAGATTCTGTAATAGTGCGCTTGTGTGAGAGCTCCCAGACAGCACAACAAAACAGCTGAATTGCCTAGCCTCACGGTTGACAGATGTCCGGAGACCCCTAGGTTGGCTACACTGCCCCTGGCTCGGAGTTACCTTAGCGTTCTGGAAAAACTGCATCGCGGTGCCCTCCTAACTGGAATAGACCCTGCATTTTTTGTGTAGAGAAAGGAAAATGAAGGTGAGATCTCTGCCATTACTCACTGCTTATTGACAAGCTATTTTGTTATGTTGGAAGTAAATGGTTGCTTTGCAACCGCCCGCATAAGTGGCACTAATTTCGACGGACAGAAATACGGATTACATCATTCAAAGCAGTAAGTTTGGCATCAGCGTTGAGCAATACAATTAGCGATTGAACAATTAGTTCTAACGCATGAAATAAAATCGAAACGAAAGAGATTCAAGCCTTTTCTCGGACCATAGACTTAGGCCCTTAGACCACATTTATGCCACACAAAGGTTCAATTCTTTATAAACTGTGATAGTTTTGGAATTTTGAACAAAATCTTTCTCGGTTTGAATCTGTGTTTGATTTTTGTTACTACTGAAATAGTTGCTCCCTCGGATTTCTTCTTTTTCTCAATTTATTTATTTATTTATTTCATTTATTTATTTCAGACGCTGCTCGCAGGCAGACGTAAAAGCTACAGTCACAATTACATACAATCAAACAATATAATCACATTATTCAATAACACAATAACTGCTTCTTTGCCCTACGTTTGAACGATACAAAAACCTGAGGAGTAAACTCCAAATCCCCTACAAACCCTCCCGTAACGGAAAAGGTCGTATCCCTAGCTAAAAATAGGGATTTCATTCAAAATTCATTCAAGTGAATGGGCCAGCTTCAAATTCCTTGGTGGCAGGGGGGTAGAGGGGATGTGAGATTCCTATTCTCCATGGCGTTTCCATCTCCTGAGCTTAGTCCAAGTGCCACCGATCGGCGGTTTTGATTTTCCTGTATTGAATGTCCCCCCCCCTATGAGGCCATGAGCGCCCAAAATGCCACTATCAATTCAGAATGGCGAGTAGAATGCGTGGCGCGCCCAATGATTTATGCTCTTTACAACTTCATTACGCATGTTTTGCTGATGCTAGCCATCAGAGTGCGCGGGGAAATTGGCAGAAACGCAATTCTGTTAGATTGAGTCTCTATTCGCAGAAGGGTAGCTTGGGGCAATATTGGCACGTCGGCTACATTAATTCCGATTTGGCACGGATAAGATCGTGAACTTAGAGTGAACAGAATTCGTTTATGCAAAGGAAACCTAAGTAAAACTAAACTAAGTGTTACGGGTTCCATGAACCTTAGTATTAATATTTTTCACAGTAAGCTTCCTGCACCTAAATGGCCCTCCTTCCCCTCTCCGCCCCCCCCCCTTATTGGGGTAGATCTATAGGATAAAGGATAAAGGACAGCCGATGTTCAAGTCAGTGTTTTTATCCTCCCAGACAAGTCTGGTACCAATTAACCGACCCCGGAGGGATGGAAGGCTTGGTTGGCCCGGGCGACTCACGACCCAGGATTTGATCCCGGACCGCTCGCGTGGTGGTGAGCGCGCCACTTGTCACTACACCACTTCCGCCCCAGATCTAATGGGGGTAACAATAAAGTT